TATATATATATATATATGTATATGCTATGTGCTACTGCTATAGCATATAGCATATACCAGAAGGCAACATAGCAGATGCTGAGGGCAGCTACAAGTACCTTGAGATTGTTAGGGTTATTTTTATTTTTACATAGATATGAATAGGATTAGTTAAGGTTTTTTATTATATAACACACAAGTTTATATACTTTAATCTTGCAGTTATGTTCATGTAGTTACATATCGCCCTATGTGTTCACTATATCACTGGTCAATATTTATTGTGTTAGCCAACTCGGAGCACTGTTTAACATCAAAGGGACTGGTTTACTAAAACACTGAATCTCATTAGATTTACAGCTTTGGCAAAGAGGGTCCACAGTTACTTTACTATCACCACCTGGCAGATGAAACCAGGGGAATTAGAGTTCATTGGGACACTATGGTTAGAAAACAGAGATTAGATCTGAAGCCAGGAAGAGGAGAAAACTTCAAAGGTAGAACCATTACACACAAACACACACACACACACGGGCAGGCTGAGCAGTTTCAGTGGAACCGGAAAGCAATGCCTAAAATGGAGCAGTTAGTTGGAAACAAAGGAAGAAGTAAGTGTGTATGTAGGAATTAAGGCTATATAGGTATTCCTCCTCTTTCTAGCGGGCTGTCCACGACCATTGGAGCAGAGAGGATAATTGGAGGACGGACAGACTGAAGGACTAATCACGGGAGAGCTAAGTCTAAACCACGGCTTCTCCCCAACAGTTTTTGACCAATTAGATAGTAGCACCTTTTCATACAAATATTGTATACCGGCAAGTTGAGGACAGTCTTTTCTGTTTATCCTAAACAGTAAAGAGCCATGTGCACATGCTAATTTTGATACGTTAATGCATAATAAATTTCACATAGTGAAATATATATCTTTTTTATTAGTCTTCTCTTCTCAAATAAAAGAACTTTCCTCACAAGATCCCGCAGGCAAATGGGAACCATGAAGAGGCCACAAGGAAGGCAAGTCCTGAGAAGTCAGCTGAATTAAAAGAACAAAGTCCAGGCAATTAACACCTACACCCTGCCAGTCATCAGGTACCCCGCTGGCATAATAAATTGGCTGAAGGAGATAGAGGCCACTGACATCAAGACAAGGAAGCTCCTTACAATGCACGGAGGGCTTCACCCCAAATCCAGCATCCTGAGACTGTACAATAAGTGGAAGGAAGGAGGCTGAGGATTAGTGAGTGTCAAGCCACTATCCAGGATGAAACAACAAAGATCCATGAATACATCGGGCAGATGGCCCCGAGTGATGACGTGCTTAGTGAATACCTCAGGCAGCAGAAACCAGAAGAACAAGGGAAGGAAGAGCAGGAACCGTCATGGAAGGACAAACCTCTGCACGTTATGTACCACTGTCAGATAGAAGTGGCTGATATCAAAAAATCCTACCAGTGGCTGGACTGAAAGACTGCACAGAGGCACTAATCCTGGCAGCACAAGAACAGGCTCTAAGTACAAGATCAATAGAGGCCGGGGTCTACCATACCAGGCAGGACCCCAGGTGCAGGCTGTGCAAAGATGCCCCTGATACAATCCAGCACATACAGTAACAGCAGAGAAATTGTAGGACTTTACTACTGATACAGTTTTGCCACATATGGTGAGGGGGCTCTTCCTGAAGTCCACTGTCATCTCCAATGTTTTGAATGTGTTCAGCTCTAGGTTGCTGTGACTACACCAGGACCAGCTGCTCAACCTCCCGTTTGTAGGCTGACTCGTCACCATCTCGGATGAGTCCAATGACCATTGTCATATGCAAACTTTAGGAGCTTAACAGAGGGGTCCTTTGAGATGCAGTCATTGGTGTAGAGTGAAAACAAAAGGGGAGAAGCCTGTGCTGATTGTCCTGGTGCTAGATGTGGTTTTTCCCAGCCTCACCTGCTGCTTCCTGTCTGTTAGAAAGCTAGTGATCCAATGACAGGTGGGGGCAGACACATTAAGCTGGGTCAATTTGGAGTGGAAGGTGTCCAGGATGACAGTGTTGAACGCCGAGCTGAAGTCCACAAAGAGGGCCCATGCGTAGGTCCCTGGGGAACCAAGGTGTTGCAGGATGTAATGCAGTGCCATGTTCACTGCGTCATCCACTGACCTATTTGCCCGGCAGGCAAACTGCATGGGGTCCAGCAGGTGGGTCTACAATGTCCTTCAGGTGGGCCAACACCAGGTTTTCAAAGGACTTCATAACTACAGATGTCAGGGCGACAGGTCTGTAGTCATAAAGTCCACTAATGGAGGGTTTCTTGGGATGATGCTGGAGCGTTTGAAGCAGGAGGGGACTTCATACAGCTCCAGTGACCTGTTGAAGATGAGTGTGAATATGGTGGCCAGCTTATAGGCACATTTCAGGCAGGAGGGGTCACGCCATCTGGGCCTGGTGCCTTTGTGATCTTTTGTTTTTTAAAAAGGCCACGCGCATTCTTTTCACAGACCGTTAGAGGTGGGGGGCTTTGGGGAAGGGTGGTAATAGTTGGGGGAGCGACCACTGGGTCTGAGTTGGGGAGGGTGAGGGGTGAGTTTTTATTCTCTAACCTGCAATAAAACTTATTCATCTTGTCTACTAGTTGATGGTCCTCCATAGCAGGAAGGATTGGTTTCTATGTATTTTTGTCTCAGTACCGGTGCAAAGTGCTTCAAACTTTGAGCACTGTAGCCAGTTCCAGACACTTGATGTGGAGAGACGTGGTATGATTCCACTGTCCTTCTACAGCCTGTGACAGAAAAGTGCCTCCCCAGCCGAGCAGAGACATGTCTGTGAACATCGAGATGTGTGATGTAACCCTGCCTAGGGGAACTCCCAGTGTGCTAACAGTGGCCAAACCACCACTGGAGCTTCCTCATGTGAAGAAGACCGAGGGGGACCACAACGTAAATGGCTGACATCATTCCCAGTAGACGCATGACAGACAGAGCTGTTACCTTTGCGTGGGGAACAATGCACTGCAGGTGAGATGAAAACACCTCCCACCTGACAGATGACAGCTTTGCTCTCATGCTGAGTGTCCAGGGGCCTATTTCAAGAAGGCGGTTCAACAAACTCAGAGTTCAGGCCTGAACTCTGAGTTGACTTACTCAGAGTTGGAAAACTCAGAGTTTTCGGTTTCAGAACAGCTGAAAAGAGTTGGTTTAAGCAACTCTGAGTTGTCTGACTCAGAGTTAGGCGCGTGCCACGCGACTATAAGAAGCCCTGAACAATGGAGTGAAGAAATTACGAGTCACCATGGCAACAGGACCAAGCCAAAATAGGTCTGCGTTTTTCCCGACAGAAATGGATGTGCTACTACAAGCATATAGTGACTACGAGCCCATATTTCGTAAAAAAAAAAAACAACAACAACAACACGGCTGCAGCGGCGAAAGAGAAAGAGTTAGCTTGGGGGAAAATAGC